TAAAAACAGAGAAATTTTTACTGATTTTGTATTTGTCGGAATTGTCAGTGAGAAAACATCAATCGGTTGTATGTCAAGTTCTATAAATCAAAAAAAAATCCATATTAACCATACAAGGAAACGTTACAAGTCTAGTTTCGTCAGAATATACTTGTTAACTTATGCGCCGTATTAAGTTTTGAATAGACTTTTATTGATTTTACAACAAGTATCACAAATCGTTACGATCAATTTTTTACAATTTCATTCAATGGAAAATAAAATGAAATTTCAAGAAACTTTTCTTGTTACCAATTCGTAAGCTACAGATCCCATCACTATGTCAAATACTGGAGAGCTCAGATCGACGTTGAATTGAAATGAAAGTTCAAAACTATAACTTAATATGGATAGCATGGTGAAGAACTCCTTCTTCTTTGAAATAGGATTTTCAAGCTATTAGATGGTATCGAACTGAAACTAGGTGTACATATTGAGACTGCTAAGTTATTTATAGAAAACAAAAATTTCAACATCATATTTCATTGTCTGTCGGAACTAGAGCAGTTTTCGTATTCATTTTGAAGCCTTTAGTGTCTCCGACACCATTCGACTACTGCAAGAACCAGAGTCAATTTTTTCCTAAATTCTTTTTTATTGACTTTTTGAGACATGCATTACTCAATGAAACTGAAATTCTATTAGAAAAAAAGTCTAATTTTGATAATGAAAACAATTTTCTTCTTCGATTAAGACGACTCTAACTGTGTAAGTGATCAAACGACGTTAGAGATATGAAAAGTACTTCAATGTTTTCGACATGTACAATAGAATTGTTATTGCTCCGACAGATCACAAGAAATGGGGGTAAAATTTTTTCGAAGTGTAATGGTAAGATGTTCCAATCTATCCGCAAAGTCTTAGCTCAATATCATGTAATCGGTTGGAATTTCGATTTTGAAGAAGAGAACGAGAGGAATCTTAATCTCTAATTTCTCAAATATGTCATTAAGGTCGGTCTCAAATTGACCTCACTAATTATCATAAAAAAATCTTATTTCTATGAGTAGTTAAAGCGCTACGTTCTAATGAAAATTCATACAGCTAAACTCTACATAATATACCATATATTCATAGTAATAAGGCTTTATGTGACGTCTATTACGATAAATTTGGGTTAGATCCCAAAATTCCAATCTTTACTAAAAAACAAGAATAAATGCCTACCTTCAATATCATCATTATTACTAATATTTTTTCCATTCTTCTCCCGTAAATTACTATGTTTTCCAAGACGTTTTGGACCTTTATTTTTCGATTTACGTTGTTGTCGAATTAATCTACCACCAGTTTTTTGTTCATTCGGTACGATAATTGTCTATAAAGAAAAAGAACCCATAATTAATATTAATAAAAAAAAACAAAAAACAAAAACCTTTTGTGCAAGTGCACAAAATTTCAATAAATCATTTGTTTGTGTAATAAATGTTGCACATGGATTAATATTACAACAAATAATTGTTCGACCACGACCAACAAAAAATGGACGAAAAATACTTGTTAATACACTATTTCGATAAGGTACAAGCATTTGTTTTCTATTAAAAATAAAATCATTAACGTTAATTTAACTATTCAACATTACATATGCATATATTCTTTACTTTGTTAATTGATTTTCATTTAATACTCGAATACAATCTTTAAATGTCATTAATGATGTATTAATATTACAAGTTTCAGTTAATTGTTTTCCAGTACCATTTACTGGTTCATTACCAGCCAAATCACAAATATCTAGTGAAGAAATCAAAATTAGAAGAAAATAAAATGTTTGTCAGCGCAGCTTCTTCGGAGTTAAAATGTAGAACTCACATATGTTCTTTAGTGTTATTAAACTACATAGAGTAAAAAACCTCTAGTAGGACTATAGCTGTTTTCCAAGGATAATCGATCATCATGGAAACGATCTGTTCCATTTATTTTTGTATTTCGAACAGAAACTTTTCTTTATTGACGCTCTATTTTTTGTTTCCCTTGTTACCTTGCATTTTCGTATTCCGTTTTTTTTTAAATCTAACATTATTATTATTCTAGTCAGTGATTCAACTGAGAAATACGTCTGTTGGACATATCTATTAGATCTACATCAGGTCTCAACGCACTATTATATATTTCGATAAACTCAAAAACATTGATATTGATTATTCCTCAAAGTTATAACTTGATCAGTTTTTACATTTTTTTTATGCTGATCATATAATGGTTGTAGCAAATCAATGTCTAACTACCTATCGTCCTTGGCATCTTGAATAGAAATTTCTTTTTCTGCGCAAAATTCAGAAAACGTATTGCAGCTATTCAATTTTTGAGGAAGGCTTTGAAATGTTCTAGAACAATGTAACTCTTGTTATGAATGCCGTTCAACATCTTTTTCCGTTGCTAAGGACTTCTGGAAAATAAGTCTGATGCTTGTTATCTTATCTTCAGTCACCTCGTTGCTAGGAGATGGAGCGAAAAACTCTCGACTTAAAACTTACACTCATTATAGTTCCCTTCTAAAAACATAATGTGAGGTCCACAAGAAAAAAAATTTATAATAATAATGTCATCTTCTTACACATATGACTCATAGTTGGTTCTTCATCAAATTCATTAATTGTAATAAGTGTAATACAAAGTACAGCATGCGATCTTGATGATGCTTCATTAAGATTTGTTTTTGATGTTGAACGATTAGCTAAACCAAATTTAATTATATCTTCAGCTTCTTTTATATCAAATACGGGTATTTGAATAAGATTTTTAATAATTGTTGAATGATCATTTTGCATAAGACGAAGATTTTTACGTATTTTCATATCTTTTGGTTGAACAAGTAAATCAAGAATATTTTCATTATATAATTCAAAAAATGATATCCATATTGAATAATGTTCATCTAATTACATGAAAAAAAAACCAATTATTTATCTCTTATAAACTTCATTTTACCTTCGACAGAAAAATCTTCTAAATTATTTTGTTGTTGAATTATATTTGGTAAACGCATTCGATACTAGAAAAATAAATTATCATTATCTAATTTGTTTAAGAAAAAAAAGAAAAGAAAAGATATAACCTTCTCATCTTTAAAAATATAATTTCGAACAGCTATTTCAATATTAAGATCACAATCAATTGTTGGTATTAAATTTTCAAGACCAAGAGGTTTAAATAAAACTGTTTCATCAACATTTGAACCAACATTAAGAAATATTCGATGAAGACATTTAGATATTAAACCTGATTCATTAGCTGTACCAAACATTGTATGAGTTTTACCTAGAATATAAATATATAATTATCATACCCAAATATAATCCAACAATTAATGAGATTTCAACGTTTCAAAATATTTTTTACTTTTTTCAAACTACTATTTATATTAAAGTATAGGAGGAGAAAATCGTTTCAATCATAATTGAGCAATTTATAGTCACGGAAGTAGAGAACGATGTTGTTTTACTAAAATAATTCCTTTTTTTAATGAAATTTTATCTAGAGATAATAATGAAACATGTGACGAAATAACTAAACATATGCAGAAGAAAACGAATGATCGTGATGGAAAAAGCATTCGTGTATATATCCACAATTATGATGTTTAGCACTGACATTGCGTTTTATTTCAGCATCATTAGCAATAAGCAAATATATACTTAGTAAAGTTGATCGAATTTTAGAAGCAGAAAGATACCGAGATGAATTCTGAATGACTTGCTTTGAGATGAGCTCTTTTTTTTGTTGCTATTTATGGATAAAACTAAATAGTATACTTTTCCATATCAGATAAAATTTTGACAACCGTACTATGACTGTGAAAGTATCTGCCTTACTACATACCACTATTTGTTAGACCAAGTGTACAAAGAAGCAAGTTAGAACCAGTAAAGATTTCATTCGTAGGTTGAGCAAGAATTTGTTCAAATAATCCCTGTTGACTACATTGATGATCGAATATTTTAGTAACCTTAAACAGAAAATTATTGATTGAATAAATTATTCTTTGTTATTTCGAAGTTTGATATTGACATTTAATGATGATGATGAATATGTGATTTATAAAAGATAATCAAAAATCTAACATTTTCATGATTGAGAAAAAGTGAAGTAAAAAAAAGTTTTGACTAGCAGGATATATACACTATGAAAATTATTTTCTTTTTTAAAAAATCTCATATCGACAATAAGAATTTTTCAAATTGATTTATACAATGACTCATATCAATTTTATTCATATTAAAAAAATACCTCATATTCATTATATGATGTTTGTAAAGTACGAATAGTATTATTAATTGTTGGATAGAGTTTAACAGCAATATGTTTTTCATCAATAATATCAATTAATTTTTGATTTTCACCACGTTCAAGTTCATCACCAATAAACGGACGAATACGTAAGTAAACATTTAATGGAGAAGGATCACGACGTTTAGCTATTTTCGTCGTTGTGTCAAGATATATTGACGTAGTTCCTGTTTCTGTTGTATCCATATTTTAAGAAATTATTCTTACAAAAACAATGCTTCACCAATGTACAATTTTAGAAATAAAAATAGGTTTTGATTAAAATATAGAAAATGTCAACATGTAATTCCGCAATTGAACAAAAAAGAAAAGAGAGTTCGTTCATTCAATGTGACAAAAGTTCAACGATAAATTTTCTATTCAATATGAATGTTATTATTGGTTGTTTTCTTTGACCGGGAACAAAGACATTTTATATGGGATGAAAATTTGCTATTTAACTATGAATAATATTTCGATTAGTTCATTTTATGAAAGTCTAAATGAGACAAAAGATTGAGTTTTATGTGAAAATAATACTTTTATATCTTTGCAGATGTCGTAAGTGATGACAATAGAGATAGACAAATAAGAATATGTAGATCCTGAGATTTATTGAATATTTGATTCTATTTTGTATATTTAAAATAACATTAATAGCATGAATATATCCGTACAAAATCAAACAATTAATCATAAATACTTCCTTCAAATAAAAATCTATCTTTAAGTCTAGTATCTGGATTTTCTGCAACATCAATCCAAAATTTTCTTACAGGAAACCAATCAGTATGTTTTGATAATGTTAATACACCAAGTACAATAGGATGATGATGTAATGAAGATTTTTCAAGAAATATTAAATCAATTGTAAGATCACTAACAGCTATGTTTTTAGGAATTTGAAAATGAAATTCTTCATCAAATTCTGGATTAAATGAACGATCAGCTACTTTTGTTCGTTTTATATCATATATATCAAAAGGACTTTGAAAAACAATTTCAATATAGGTTTCTACAAGAAGAAAAAATTTTTATAAATTAAATTTTAAGAATGTAAAATAGTTCATATACCTGGTGCTCGTAATAATCGTTCAGATTGTAAATGATTAACTTTTACAATATGTATTAATAATTGATGTCGAGCTAGCCAATGTGCTGCTTCAATTTCTACTTGACCAACATTAATACCACGAGAAAGCTAGTTAAAAAAAAAAATTTATTTATTCGAATATTGTATAATTGGAAGTCGAGAGAAAAAAAACCTTGAAAACGAATAAACATAATTGTTATAAAATAATCCATGGAAAAGTTTGATTCTATGGAAAATAATCTTTGAGTACGATGCAAGTTTTATTCGATGCTGAAAACTTTGCAAGCTGTTGATTTGAATAGAAGTGTGTTTCTTTTGCTCGAATTACTGAAAAACCTGGCAGCGATAGAAATCTTGATTATAATAAAAGTCAAACACACAGAAAAACCATTTGTTAATTGTGTATGATACCTATATGTCCCGTCTGCGCTCTCACGACGAGTATGACTCATTTTTTGGAAGATGACCGCTTCGCAATCATCTTTTTTCTTATATGTCCGTTGAGCGACCGCACCTTTAACATATCAGTTGTTAAACACTCTATTGCTAGAACTTTTTATTATACTACTTCATGTTGATACTCGTTGGTTACATTTATAAAGTAAATCGTAAGTAATGTGATTAATAATTACACTGATAGCAATTCAACCTAACTCAAAGGAGTATAGTATTCAAATTCGCTTTAACCTAAAATTGCGCAACTTTAATTACAAAATATATCAAGATTGAATCGAGTACCCAATAAGTATACATATCTATGTCTAATTATATCTTGTCTAATTAAATATTCTTTTATAATATTTTTGACAGTATATTGCTGTTCATACATAAATGTTAAAAAAAAAAGAAACACTATTTCTCAAGAAATACTATAGTGCCACAAACATGAGGCATAAATTGGCGGGAAAAAAAATTCCCAAGTTACCACTAGGTGCGGTTGCCTGGTGGCCGAGCCGCTCTTGCCTCATGTTTTAGCTGCAGTACACATCTCTGATATATGAATCTATTAGAAGCAGCCACTTGTACTCTTCGTTTCAATATTCATCTCAATTGTAAACTTATCAGTCTCCGGCAAATGTTGATATTCTACTCTACCTCAGGCAGAATATTATAGTGTCAAGTTTCAAATAAACTTGAATTCGATTTTATGTTTAAGGTCAAATTTATTCTAATGAATGTCGGTATAAAACTTATAAGTATTCGATTACAAGATTAAATAAGTCGAGAACAGTACATATCTTGGCAATGTATAACTTTTAATAGTAGATAGAGAGAAGAAGGGAATATTAATATGAATATAATTCGATAGAGTTTAGTAATTGATCACAGTGGTCAAAAGGAATAGGCTTGAAAGAAAATTATTTGAATTTGTATTTCATAGAATCAATCTCACTTTATTTTTTAGAGCTAGTTTAGAAAGAGAGATGATCACCTCCTAATAAAAAATAATCTGTGAATATTAATGTTTTGATATTTGAAAGAGTAAGGATGAGTACGGTAAACTTTTTCATTGATTTCATGAAATATTTCTATAGTAATCAACATAATAGCATGAAAAAACTGGTTTCATAGATAATTAATTCAAGTTGTTGTGACTTTGATGAGTTACTAAACAATAACCACTTTTATATGGATTAGTATTCCTTTGTTTTCTCTATCTACTATTGAAAGTTGCATATTGCCAAGAAATGTCATTGTTCATTTATTTCAATTCTGATTGAGTAATTCTAAATCTGACATCAATATTAATTTCAATCGAATATCTAATTAGATTTTGTATATTTATAATACAATAAGAAAATTTTCTTTTAATGATAAAGAAAAAAATATTAGTTCTAAGTTAAACTTACTATTTTATGTGGTCGACTAACAGGTGTAAGTTCTCGTAAAAATATTCTTGATGCTCCATGTGGAATATTTTTAACATGTAAATGTGCCATATCGGAAAATTTTAAACTAATATATTTATTTATTGATAATGATTCAATTTTGATAACAACATATAATTCAACTTCTTGATTAGCAATCCAATCTCCTGACCATAAAATAAATTCAGCCGAATAATTTGTTTTTAAATGTGAATCATGAACGAATTTTTCAAGAACAAGTTCATGTTCAATTGGTTTTCGTACATATATTATACAACGTAAACGAAAATCACATAAATGAAATTTAAATATAATATCATGTAATAATAAACGTAAACAACTTTCATATTCATCACGTTGTATTTCAAACATTAAACAAAATTTTAAATAAATCATATCTGATGGTTTATTTGTTGGCATATTTAACATATGCATTTGATGTTTAACAAGTGCTTGTTCAAATTCAACAAGATTTTGTGCTACATGAAAATCTGTAATTGGATCAATTTTTTCTGTTTGACGAAAAAGTTTATCCATTGAAGCATTTTCTTCTTCTTCTTCTTCAGTTAAATTTATTCCAATAATTGGTAATGTTCCATCAAAACTAAGTACTTCACGAAAAGCAAATTTTCTAAGTTTATTAGCTGCTTCCGATAAGGCACGTAGAGCATGTGATGTATCTTGATGATGAAATTGTTTAGTTGTATTTTTATCATAAGATGAAACAAGAGATTCATCCATACGAAGAATAATACGTTTAGCACGCTCAAAATCTGGTCGTAATTGTTTTCGTATATCTTTTATTTGTCTTGGAATCATAAATGAAATGTCAGTTATACACATGACTTTGTTTGTGTTAGCAAATTTATTATTCTTATCATTAAATAATAAGTGACCCTTCAATATAAAAACGAAAAGATACTTTTTTTTTCAAGCATAAACACCAACTGCGTATGATATGTCACAGATAGGCAGCTAATTATATATTTTAGAACTTCAGATAGGATGGGAGAATCTTATACTCCATGGTACAGATGGAAAGTATTTTTTTGTTTTGATAAACGTGTCATAAGATAAGATAGGATAGACATTTTAGGAAATTATTCTATTCCATGAGACAAACAATCACTTATTTTTTATAAGAGAAAATATTACTATATTTTTCATATAGATGGAGTGCTTGTCTATTTCCATGAAATTACTGAAAATAAAATTTTGTTCTATTCTGTAAATGGCTATGCATCGTAGCTATTAGATCACAGTAAATCAGATTATCATGAATGAATAAATTAACAAAAAAACGCAATTCTATCTATTATAATAGTTAAAAGCAATGCATTAATTCAAATTTTATTAATAACTGATAAAATGCCTTTTGAAGATTCATCATCGTCTGTTATTGTATATCAATCTAATTCAACGATGAGTGGTAGAATTCGATGATTCAAAAAAAAAAAACTGGAATCGAGAACCGAATCGAAATCGGTAAATCATCAGATAGATACAAAAATTCTCAAATCTATGTCGAGAAATCTTCATCATTTCATTCTCGAGATTAAAAATTTCAGTAAATATGCATCGTATTGTTTTGTTTAAGTACTAAAATATGTGGCATCTTTTATTTCAATAATTCAATAGTGAAAATTTCTTAAAATATATTTAAAATTTTCCTATCTATATGATGACTCAACGGTTTCAGTTCCATGTAATATTTTGGGAATCAAAGCAGAACTCAACGTGGATGAAGTGTATATGTGGGTGTGAGAAAAGAGAATAGTAACACCATCCACATCCATAAAGAGAAGAGCAACAGGAGAATATACATGGAAAACAAGATGGTCTAATGTTATCAGCATATGTCATAGCAAAACAGTTCTTATCGTAATTTTATTATTATGACATTAGTTGAAGAATGATGAAATATTACAGAAAAATAGAACATTGTTTTTTTTACTATCATTATATATTAAGAGAAAGTGTTCTCCAGCTTTCTAGATGGAAATAAAGTATCGACGCCATTACTTATAGTTGTCCTATATAATATAATATTTTGTATAATTAATCAAATAGATAAAATGTATTTATAAATTTCACTTTTGTGAAAATTATTTGATAAATATGATGTCTTATAGAACAAATCATGGCAATTCATCCCATTTCACGCACAATTCTAATATAAACATAACTTTATGGGAAATCTTGTGATATCGATAACTATTGCGGATAAATTTATAAATGACATATACATACTTGTGACACACGCTCGGGTCTCCATCGTTTAATTAAATCCAAGTATTGTTTGAGTTGATGATATAAAGAGTTATTAGTTTCATTATCATTGTTTGATTGTTCATTAATATAAGATTGACGAAGATTAGAAAGGTAAAATGAGAAAATATTCTTATCAATCAATACGTTCATATTATTCTCATGGATTTTATTACGTATTGAATGACAAATGTTATCTTATGATGATTCGTATTTGTACTTGAGTCTTCCATTTTCTTTCTTCTTTTTTTCTTCTTTTGTATATTTATTTGCTTTGGACAAACCAATGTCATGCATTTATTTTTATGAGTTTAGAAGAGAATAAATGAGAAAGCGATCAAATGATTAGAATGAATATCATAGAAGAAAAAGGAAATATATTTTCATTTTGTATAAATAAGATTAACTTATATTTATGGCTTTCTTTTTATTCTATATGTCAATAAGGAAAAAAAATCGGTATCTGAAAGAAATATTGGGTTAAGATACTTTCATTTGTTTGTAACTAATACTCACTTGATTTATCATCGATAAATCTTTTTCATCAATTGACTTTATTTTTTCAGACTGATAAAGAAGAACAGTCAATAGAAAAATTAGATATCGAAAATCGATGTTAAGTGTTTCATATATTGATATTTGAACAGTATGAAATTAAATAATCCTCTATTGAAATCAAATTATGATTATCTGTTGAACAATATAATGAGTTACATTATTTTAGTAATAGATCAATAATAGATAGAAACAAAGTTTCAAACACCAATAAAGTATATGCTTTCCATTTTTGTGATAAGCTCTCTGAAAATCTCAGTTTTTCTTGGATTCATAATTTTTCTATCCATCCAATGAGATAAACTTCAAAGTTTTTACTTCTCTAGATTAACTAGAGAAAAAATATAATTCAATATATGTTTACACTGATCGCTACTTCCACCTTGCGTTTCTTTCGTTACTTTGTCTTTTCTATTTTTTAACTATTGTAAAATTATTCAAGTTCATTACTATTTCGAATACACAATAATTAATATGTATTTCTTTTGTAGTCAACATAAGAAGTTATTCATAGATAAAGATATTGTCAGTTTATTATTCATAAGAAAATTTATATTATCGAAAAGCCTTTATATATTTGCTTTTTCAAAATAATACATAACGATTTACCTAAATATACTAGTGATAGAAGAAAAAAAGAAAAACAGAGATCACTACAATCACTTTATTGTCATCCTTAAAATGGTATTGAGCATATAAGAGTAGTTGCAGAAGTTATGCAATGATTTTGAAAATTCATCGTTTTTATATTTAACAAAACTAAACTCTCTTTACAACTTTAATTATAATGTTTCAGGTCAATAACTTTGACTACGGATGAGAAACTGTAACAATACTTTCATGTACTACTTTATCAATTTTCCAATAACTTAAATTGATAAAGTTCCCTGATGAATAGTTAGAGTTCATCAGACTACAAAGTAGTAATCGTCATAGAACAAAATTCATTCTAACTATTGTAATAGAAAAACCAGCTAAAGAATTTGGTATTAATCGAATCGGACCAAAGAATTTTGTTCTGCTGAACTAGCCGATGTTTAGCCTATAGAAAAATATTTGGAATGTATTAAAAGAAAAATGACAAGGGTGCGAATACAATAATTTTCAACAACTAAAGAACGGTATTCAAAAGGAATGCTATCTAATACACAAATATCAATAAATTGACATATATGTTTTATGTTTTTTTCAAAAATTTCTTTCTCTTAAGAAAATATTAATCAAAAAGATCGAAAAAATTTATAAAATAGTACATGAAAGTATTGTGTTATAGTTTCTCATCTATAGTAAAAGGTAAGGATGGGCAGTTCTAGTAAACTGTTCACTGAAAACTCATACTGATTATACTGGATTGGTGTTCACTGATTTACTTGTCGTATGCATACAGTATAGATCAGTCAATGTTTAACTGAACACTGATCAGGTGTAGTCAGTAGAATCTACTGCCAGTATTTTCATCGAAACTGCACACTCCCTACTAAAATATCATCACCTGAAATTTTGTAATGACTTAGTACTAACAAGAGAAGTCCTCCAAGTATTCAAACACTTTCGAGTCGAAGGTATGTGCACTATGTAGATCGAAATGAGCTATAAATACTCACTCAAAAGAGTTCATGCCCTTAGTTTATTATTACGGAGATACTGGACTTAAACAGTATTTTTTAATGAATGTCCTGATGTAGAAAAACTGATTTTCGAATTTCAACTTGAAACTCTGTATAGAGACAGACCTTAATGAGAGTACTGTAAGGTCTTTTGTTTTACTTCCATTCTAAAACAAGAACATCAAATCTGCTGGCTTATTTGAGTGATATAAAATATATGCTATTACTATAGCTGCATCTCAAGATAGAACCGCGACAAGACCTTATACATTCACAAAAACTACTCTCGTTAAGATTTGTCTCTATGCAAAGTTTCACGTCAAAATTCGAAAATCAGTTTTTCTGAACCATGGCATTCATTTAAAAAATATTGTAAAAGTACAATATTTCCATAGCAATAAACTAAAGGCATAAATTTTTTTTGAGAGAGTATTTATAGGTAATTTAGATCTATATAATGTGCATAGTCTCGACTCAGAAGTGATTGAATAGTCGAAGGACTTTTCCTTGAAAGTAGATATAATAATCTATCAAAGTGGTAAAGATTTTACTTTTGTTGAATGAAAAAATGATGAATTTTCAAATTATTTCAGAACTTCTGGGATACCCTTGATACATGTATATATATGTATATATGAAATGTTTCAAAGAAGAGAGAAGAAATAAGATAAACACTCGAATGTTGAACAGAAAAAAAAGAAAGAACATTCTATTCAGTCAAATCAATTTAATATTTGTTAACTTTTAATAATATCTGCTAGTTCTCTAAAACTTTCATCTGCTGCTTGCATAAAACTAGGTAATTCCCTATGTAAATATGAAGTAACTAATAATCCACTTTGATCATCATCTATTAAATAACCAATACCAAAACCATCATTAACAACAGGACCAAAACCACCAGCAGCAATATGTTTTGAAGCAACAGTTGATGTTGAAAGAATTGTATGATTCATTAATTTATATGATTTATCTGTATAAATCGAATGTAAATTTTCTTTATTTTCAATTTCTTGTAAATATTTTAATGCAAATAAATGTCGATCAAAACCTTGTCCTGTTGCTGCTTCTTTAATTAATTGTTGATGTTTTTCTGAGCATTTATTTAATAAATCTTTTTTTAATTTTTTATCATCTGACTTTTTTAATGTTTCAATAAAATGTTTTGTTTCATTTGTAACAGGTCGTATAGTTTCTGTTCGACCATGTTTATAAATAGCTGTTGAACATGATTCATATGTTGATACAAATCGATGATGTAATTTATAATAAGCCATTTGAATTACTAATTGCATGATAGCATCAGGACTAAGTGAAACTTTTTTTAATAAATTTTTACCAAGAATAGGCTCTTGATAAATGCTTACATTAAATTTTGATACAAATTCATTATAATTTTGTTTTGATGTTTCAATTTCATTCTTTAATTTATCATCTAATTGAAATTCAAGTTTTTCAATAGAATCATTTGTTGATGAATTTATTTTTTGATAATTTGTCGAATTAATTTTACCATTTTCATTTGCATCTTTATCAATATCATTACAAAAACGAAGTAAAGCAACACCATCACCCCATGAATGTTCACAATGAAGACCTAATGTTCCATCCGATAACATGATCATATTAAATGATTTATCATACCAACGATTTGATGCATGATAACATAAATATTTTCCAGATATATATTCAGCACGGTTTTGTTTACTAAGAGATTTATCTAATTTTGATGGATCATCTTCATCTAACGAAAACAAAAAATACATCTTGAAATGAGTATGTTTGATATATGACAAAGATAAGTATTGTGTTTATTGTTCATCTAATTTGATAAACAATTATCTTAATCGTGAGGATATAATTTAAGGTGAGTACCTGTAAAAACTACGGACCATAGTGATATCCATGGTTACCTTGGTTTCAATTGTAAAAGATAACGATAATTACCCTGACATTTGCTTAGAAAACATCTGGTATAATTAAAAATCAAAGTAATCATAGATATTCGCAGTTTTTATAGGTACTCATCTAAGGATAATAGAAATTCTTGCTGAAAAGATTAGTTTGTTTCGATGCAAATCATAGATTTCTAAACAACTCATTTGATAGAATACATTTTTATTTCTACTCTTTCCATTTAGGCTTGTTCGCATGTACGTATATGATCCAAGAAAAGATAGGAATCTATCAGTTGAGGAAACTTATGAAGTCTTGAGAGCTTACTAAGATCAATATACTATTATCCTCATCCTCATCTCATATATTTGATCTTAACATGAATACTTATGAGGAAACCTTTCCACGTGTAAAATCGCTTTTCGACTGAGATAATGTTCATTTGATCAGTATTATTGAGCAATAGAACAGTCTAGAATACGTTTGGTTTTCCGAGCCTTCATTCTTGAGATATCGAAATCCTACTGGATTTTTCGTCCCTCTCAGGTTACGTGGAAAATCCACTTCCGACTTCAAACTTTGTACGAACAAAGTTCTCAAAGTTTGTTCATATATTTACGTATTCAGAAAGGAAATACTAGTTGCACAATCTATTAATCTCATTAAGAACTTTGTTCGTGCAAAGTTTGAAGTCGAAACTCTCGCGTGACCTGAAGGGAACGAAAAGCCCAATAAAATTTCAGTGCCTCAAGAACGAAAGTCAGGAAAACCAAATTATTCTAAACTTTTCTATTACTCATTGAATGAACATTATCTCGGTCGAATAGCGATTTCATACCTTGAGAGGTTCTCTCAAGGGGAAAAAGCAGAATCCTGGAATCCGGTGGAATATTACGAAATCCCACGGAATCCAATGGAAAACTCAATAATTTTGATTTCACTTCATATTGGATGACATCTCCATGAACTAAAAGTTATTTTTTAATAAATCCTGATTGATGAAATCCACAAGGTGTATATAAAACTTCAATGCAAATTAGATTTGTATATAAACACTACTCAAAACATTTTTCACTTATTATATAAGTGGTCAACATAAATTCAATTAAACTTGAAGTTTCTTTATTTATTTTAATCTTATTTCAATGAACAATAAATATTTCTCTCAAGTTGATTATATTGAATAAACAATAAACATAACTTACCAAGACATATAACCATAATTGAACTATCAATTTCTTTAAATACATGTTTATTATGTTGAGAAAGTGCTTCAACTTGTGAATGTATTGTTGCCCATCTATCTCTATTATCAGCCGTAAAATATCCAAATGGATATTTATTTTCTTCTTCATTTAAATCTTCACATAAATATTTCATCATTTCTGCAATTTTTTCAGCTGGTAAAATTTGACCATGTTTATCTAATATATTTACTTTATAATAATGACCACGTTTAATAACAATAATATGTCGAACATTTTCAAAATTTGTTTCAAGTATATCACAATCAATTTTTGGTATACGAGTTGAATTAAATAAACGACTATATTGTGACATATCTAATGGAAAAGCTTTTTGTAATACAGCTCCATAAAATGCAATACGTTTTGGTACATAACGCATATATTTACGAAATTGATCTGTGTTAGTTTTTTTAGGATTTAAATGAAATATTTCTGGATCAAGCCAATTAGCACGAAGTGTATTCGTAAAACGAATTGATGATATAATATAATTTGTTAAACGTGCTGCTGGTTTTAAATTTTGTTGATCATCAGTTAAAACAAGAAAAAAATTAAAATTTAATATAAGTGGTAAACGTGATTTTAAATACATTTCAAACCATGGTTTTGATATATATGATGTATTTCGATTTAATCGATTTTTTTGACGTAATTGAACATCAAGCCGTTTACCATCACCTGTACGAAAATCAGTAACAATTTTTTGAGTTTCTTGAAATGCATTTTCATCATTATTAAGAATTGGTTTAATTGCAGTTAAATAACGTTCACATGTTTTATCTAATTTTGGTATTGGTAATCGAGGTAAACTATATTGAAAATGATCAGTTGATAAAATACTTTGTTTAAAATAATTATATTCATCATGTTTTTTTATTGAATTTGATGATACATGACGACAAAGAAGAGATACGTATCGTTGAGAAGTACCAATTGGAATAGGACTTTTAGTTAACATCTAAAAGTTAAATTACAACAAAACAAAAATAGATGTTTTCTTTTTAAATAGGGCTTTATTACTTCGTAGTATTACTTCGATGAAAAGCTAAATAGATTCTTAATGGTTTTCAATGTTTATTGTTTTTATTTTTAAGTAAAATATCCACACAATAGTGTTAAAAATCCAAAAGTTCATTTTTGGTATATGTATCGACCATGTTTATATTACTATTATTAAGATTGCTCTTCTCAAAAATAGATCTTGGAGTAAGTGGATTCAAATCACATGAAATTTTCAGTCCTGTATCATGACGTTTTTGAACGATATTCAATAAATAAGGGTCAAAAATAGCTCTTTCGGCAATTCAAAACTTTCTGTAGGTCCTTCATTCTACAAATTTAATTTTTTTATTTAAAAGCGCATATCAAATTGCTATGTTGTCTTTTTTTTAATAACTACTTTTTATGCGAAGAAAAATAATAATAAGTTCATTACCTCGGAAAGCTTTCAAAAAATAGTCCTCTATTGATATAAGTACTTTTTTTTACATAATAGTAATAAAGCTGCATGCAAAAAACAGGTACTGCATCTTCACATTTTTCTATCAAACAAAACAAGAAGCAATTGACTAAAGCAGAAGGTGGCAGAAATCATGAAAAATTTTGGCAAAAAACAATGTGTCGAATAAAAATGTCATGTCGTTTATGAAAGATTAGACGTTGGACTATTTTTCTGTGCATTTATCTCAATTTCAATTTTTCTGACAAAATCGGAGGTTTTTTTTTAGGGAATCGGGGAGAGCTTAATAGAAATGATCTTACACAGATTGTTTCAAATAAAAAAGACAAAATTCTATAAAAGGATGGCGGTGGTATTCCTTTTTTTTTTGCTCGTATATCCATAAATCTTTCCACTGATAGTTCAAAGTTCTACAACTTATGTGAAGGATGATGATTTTACTTTTTAAAATTTTTAACTCAGTCAAGTTTAGCTATAAAAAAAAAAGTGAACAATAACTATAGCTCGCGAATAGTTAATGATACAAGATAAAAATAAAAAACGTGAAGGTCGTTTTCTATCTATTATCATACTTAATATCTATATGATTCTGTACACTTACGTTTTGTTTCCCCATATAAAACCTCGTATGAGTCATTGAATTTTTCTCTTCAACCTGATTTGCTACTGATCTGTTTATTCTTATGAATCGAATGATGTCGCTTAAATCGATAACTTTAATTTTTAATAAAATGATATACCGCCAGCTGTTGGCTCTTTGTACGAAACTAACAATATAGATGTTATAATTGTGTTTATTGTATTCTTCCATGCATTAATATATGACCTTCAATTCAACGTCATCATATCATGATCAAGTTTTATTACTTAGTGATAGACATTTTCTCTTTATTTTTATACAAAAAAAAAAGTTTTCTCGCTGATTTTACTTTTTATGAACAAAACTAAAGACTAATGTATGCAAACATTTTGATATTCTTCATATTTATTTGACGAATTATTTTAGATGCGTTTAGTAATTACTAAAGATTATGATGAAATGACTGAGTGGTCCGCTCGGTATATAAAAAAACGAATAATTGATTTTAAACCAGGTCCTAATCATTACTTTGTACTTGGTTTACCAACAGGTATATTTCAACTATTTTTAGCTTTCTATTTTTTTTTTCGTTTTGAATCTGTTTATTTTCAGGTAGTACACCATTAGGTATATATAAAAAATTAGTTAAATTTGTCAAAACTAAAGAATTATCATTTAAATATGTTATTACTTTTAATATGGATGAATATGTTGGATTACCACGAGTATGAAGGAAAAAAGTTGAAAAATCAATTTCTTTTTTTCTCTTATATAATAGGATCATCCTGAAAGTTATCATTCATATATGTGGAATAATTTTTTTAAACATATTGATATTGAACCAAATAATGTTCATATTCTTGATGGAAATGCTACGGACCTTGTTCATGAATGTAATGAATTTGAACGAGCTATAAAAGAATCTGGTGGTATTGAATTATTTGTCGGTGGCATTGGACCTGATGGTCATATTGCTTTCAATGAACCAGGTTTAAAACTTTTTTATAAAAAAATAATTAAATTCTGTCTTTTTCTTCGTAATATTTAGGATCTAGTTTAGTGTCTCGTACTCGAGTAAAAACTTTAGCACAAGATACAATCATAGCTAATGCACGTTTCTTTGATAATGATATAACAAAAGTACCAACATCAGCATTAACTGTTGGTGTTGGAACAGTAATGGATGCACGAGAAGTAAGTTATAGATTTATTTCTGAAGAAGAAAGTCACAACGAGTCATTGAAAAGCTATTAGAGAAAATGTTCAATCATTTTTTTTTTGCCTTTATTAAAGAATCGGCAGAAATTTGAAAATATTGGGTTAGAAACAAAATTTTGTATTGTTTTTGAATATGGACTTAGAAATTTTGTTTCAGTCTTACCCAAACATTTTTTCAAGAGGTCCTTTCAACGTAAAACGGTTGTTGATTTTTCAAAAATGAACATTTACGAAAAATAAAAATTTAGGCACCTTGTCGAAAGATGAAAAAGAACCTCAAATAGTGTGTTTTATAGAGGAGATTTTGATCTACAAGCTAATATATAAATAAAGATCCCCAAATTTTGGTTCCGAATCGCAATAGCAAGAATACAAAAATTTGCAGAAAAATATCTCGTTCAAACTAACTTTTTAACCTTTTCAAACATTATTTCACTACTTTCGAATAAAATTTCTAAGTTCCTTCTTGTCTAATTACTTTTCGATCACCCGTTACTATTCTATTCTTCATTGAGTAATTGACCAAAAAAAAGAACCGAAAAAAAATCTTTTTTTTTCTTTTCTACGTGTTAAATAACGTTAATAGATCACATTTGTTTTGTATACTTTTAAATTTCTATGACTACATGTCGGTAAATTTTTTTCTTTTAAGGTATTAATATTAATATCTGGTACATCGAAAGCCTATGCACTTCATATGGCTATTGAAGAAGGTGTTAATCATATGTGGACAGTATCAGCATTTCAAAATCATTCAAGATTTTTATGTGTTTGTGATGAAGATGCTACAATGGAATTAAAAGTAAAAACTGTTCGATATTTTAAAGGTCTAATGTCTGTACATTCACAATTAATTAACGGCAATGATCATTCATCATTATTACATACTGAAAATTAAATTAAGAAAAAAAAAGAAAAATTTTGATTTTTTTTTCGTATATTTTATCTAAATATTTGTGCTGTTTTATTTGTTCGGAGTAGTTGTAGTAGTCAACTAGTTGTCTTTAAGAAGACAAATAGAAGTGACGAAGAAAAGAAAAAAAAAATATTTTAATATAGTATAATAAAACAGACGGTGGTGGAAAAGGACTTGAAAGAGAAGAAGAAGAAGAAAAAAAACTGATTTCTTTTTTATCAAACGTGTACATATTTATTAACGCCCCATTTATGATTAGATCGTTCTCGTCGACGACGAAGAAGATGTGCATCAACATCTAATGCTAATTCTTTATCAATTAAATTAGCCTGTAATCGTTGACCAACAATTTTTAATGCTTTTAATTGTTTTCTTGTTTCTTCAGCCGATTGTTGAAGATCACTAGTTGCCTGAAGTGATAAAAGCAAAAAAAATTCAATGAACAAATGAAAGAACAAAAAAAATTTTAATTTACTTTAGCAGTAATTTGAGCTTCAGGTACTTGATTACCTGGATGTCGTTGGAATGTTCGCATAATAGGACGATCAAGACGTTCAGCTATTTTAAAACTAGATGAACTAAGTGGACCTGCATTAAATTGTTGAGCACTCATGGTTAAATCAAACCAACGTTGTGCTCGATGTTGAGCAAGAGAATTTTCACTGAGTGATATTGTTAAATGTTGCTATTAAAATATCAATATATATATATATATGTTTGAAAAACAATAATAACAACAAATTTTATTTTCTTACTGCTAATGTAATAATATCGGCAAGTTTCTGAGCAATACTTTGATTAACGGTTAATGAGTAAGCTTTAGCATCATTAAATGCATCTTTAATTAGATTCATAGCTTGTTTTTTAATTTCACGTGATTCTTCAATTAATTTTGCTGCATCTTGAAATGCTTGTATAACATCAGGTGTAAAAGCAAGTAGATGACCAACAAGTGGTAAACCATTTTCATCAAGTAAGGTTGATTCAGCCGTAATATTTGTATTATTTAAATTTGAATTAGATGATGTTATTATTGATGATATCGGATTATTTCGTGCTGTACGTGGTAGACGAAAACCAAGTGCTGATAATGGTCTAGCTAGTGGTGCTGTCTTTGGTGTTCGACGTGATTGAAAATTATCTAATCTAAATCAATAATATTAAATAAAATAAATATTTTTCTTTTATGATTATACGCAATTTACTTTTCAAAACGAGCCAATTCAAATGTTCGCGATGCACTTGTTAAACATTGACATATAAGTTCCGTAACTACTGAACGTTCTTTACCAATTTTAGTAACACGTTGACGAATATCATCAAGTTTCTAAATATTTTATAATTTATTTTTAATTAAAAGAATTATTATACCTGCATTTGATCAACAATATTTTTACAATTAAGTTCTAAAATATTTTTTATATTTATTAAATGATATTTTTCTGCAGCAAGTATATCATCAACACCATCAGATTCCTATTGATACAAACCAAAATATTACTTAAAAAAATAACAAAGAAACACCAGAATACCGCTTCTCGTTTTGGTTTTTTTCTTATTTTAACACTTTCTTGATTGATAATTAAATCTTTACGAATATGTTCAATAGCTGCTTCTGTATATTCTTTATGTTTTAATAATGATTTAATTTCTTCATTAACATCACTCCAACATAAACGTAATTTAGCCACAACAACACGACATTGTCGTGCATAAAGAAAGGCTTCAGTATTACTCAATTCATTAAGCATTTCACGTACATGTGGTAAAGGATCGATACCTCAATTAAAGTTTATATTTTATTTTTCTCTCTTTGGTATTGAATTTTTTCTTTTAAATTAATTCTTACCTTTACCAAAGAGAATATTTTGATCGCTTTGTTCGATAGCTTTAGCGTTAAGACGAACATCAACCATTGTTTCTTGTCGCCAATTATCATTACTAAGTAAACTACGACCTAAACGTTGTGGTGATTGCTCACTCATAGGTGGCGATGGTCGACTTGGTCTTATTATTCGTTGTTGTTGTTGTTGTTGTTGTTGTTTTCTTTGTTCATTATCAAATGTAAGACTTCTTGATAATAAATGTTTTCCGTTTGTATTATTATTATTGTTGTTGTTAATACGATCATCATTATCCGTTAATGATGGTCTTTGCATTTGACATGATGTACTTGGTCGTGATGGGTTCATTATATTGTCTAATTTCAATATTTTTTTAAATATTTTCCATGTGAAAAAATGTAGGTTTTTTTAATACTTATGTATGTAATGGTTAAACAAAGAAAACGTTCTCTTCTACAAAATTGATGTCAGAGAATCAATAACCATCATTGATTTCTATTCTTTTTCCATTTCTCTTAAGCTCTTTTTTCTTCGTTTCTTTTTTTTTTGCACGCGACATTTTTTACACCTTTTTTTTCTTTTGCTCGAAGAGATGCAACGGCCACACTTCTTTGATTGCTTAAAGACCAAACATCAGTAACATTTCATTTCAGAAGTCCGTGACAACCAAACATATTGACACATACATACTGGGTTGCTGTTGAAAAAGCGGCAGCTCAAATGTTTTTTGTTGTCGCCTCGATCACATACATCTCAATTTTCTCTTCAATAACTTCAAGCAAGCATATGTACACGATTAACAGAGAAGAGATGATTGCATTATATCGAGACATAAACATAGTAGAGAGAATCAATACCAATTTTGTTTATTATCATTATTCTCACATCAAAAAATAGATAAAAAAAAACAAAGAACAACGACTTAGACAGAACTATATGTATATATATATATATCTAAATTTAGATTAAAAAAAGGAGATTAGTTTTTATGGTTCTCTTTAATAGAGAAATTGAGTTCTTTGTTGTTGAATAAAATGAGATGAATGTTGTGGTACCATGATTGGTAAGCTATCGACCGGATTTTGTATCATCATTTCATTATCATCAATATCATCACTTGATATTTCATCATTATCACCGTGTAAAGGATGTCTTCCAAATTGTTTCGACGATGACAAATGATAATGATCTTCATGAGTTGGAGAATCATCTTGAGTTGGTATTGGATATTGTGGGCGATTTCGTTTAAAGAAACCACACTAAAATAAAATGATATAATTAATTTAAGCATGTTTCTGTTTTTTTTTGTGACATTCTAGAGCTTCTAATAATTCCAATGACATCTAATGGTTTCTGTCATCTACATAAAAACTAACATATAACAAAAAAATGAAAAAAAAAGATCATGATTTTCTTTTTTTTGCTATTTACACTTGTTATTCATCACATTAAGAATACTCTATAGTATTCAAAACACTCGAGATAGACATTCGTTTTTTTTTAAGGTTATATAGTAAGCTAAAACATTCCCTCAACATTAACATTGAATCGATGCATCAGGACGTAAATAATTGTAATAACTTCAACTATTCAAAAGAAAAAGCCAATTTCTAGATTGTCATTACTCTTAATTAAAACTTCGTCTGACAAATCTCTTGGTTCTGTTAAGAGAAATAGTTCACATAGTATAGGAATACTCATTGAATGTGCAAATATTATATTAGCAAAATTTTATGTTCAATTCCATAGAGTTCATAACTCTGTCTAGAACAGGCAATCGATTATGATTTATTTTTTCTAGCAAAACCTTTTTTTTCTTCTAAGACTATTATTATTATCAAAAAAATGTCGTTTTTTATCTGCAGAGCTTGTACAAGAAAGTATACGAAACATAGAAACTAATTATGACAGAATACAGAGCTATGAGAGATTAATGATTACAGAACCAAACAGTATCTTGATGGCAACTGTTGGTACTGCTGTAAGTGAATATATTTTGGTACAAAATTCTTTGTTACGAACTATTATTATTGCATACGTACATACATTTATACATGACAGAAGAATATAGTCAAAATTCAGAATTATGTCAATAATATTGACAAAAACAATAGAAGGTAATTAGTTATTCAATTATTTTTTTTTTACAAATCTATTGAATGATACTTACACACCAGAGAACACCAACAAGTATGATTAAAAGAATAACTCCAGCTGTAATACTAAGGCCGATAAGCCATACCCAATGTTGAGACGATCGTTCAACAGTAGGTGGTATTTGTGTTTCAAGCTAGAAAGCAAAAAAAAATATATATATATAAATGAAATACATTTGTGTTTTTCTATTGAAATTAAAGATCATTCTATTAATTGAAAAGAACATAAAGTAGAATAACAGTTGTTTACAATTTATTTTGATTGAGTATGTTGTAGAGGATGGTATATAATGATTGGTTATTCGCTCGTTTTTTTCGCTTTTCTTTAATATTTTTTCCATATATATGTTTATACATATTTTCTTTATGTCTGTAGTCAACAATTAAAAAGAAATATGATTCTGATGCATATAAAGTACGATGGAATCAAATTAACACATTGTCACACAACCTTTCGCAAATAATATTGGCTTAATTTGCATATTCTCACTCGTTTCATGTAGAATGTAGTTTTTTCTAGCTAGTTGGAAAAACAAACAGAAAACGTGGGAGACTGCGGCATGACATGCTAGTAACTGCTGCGTATTACATTCAGATAAATAATTATCAAAAGATCTTAATAATATTGAAAATTACAAAAAAAATTCATCAATTTATTTCCTTCTGTCTTCCTTTTTTTTTATATCAGTCACACTCCTCTTAACGACTTCAATAATTTCATCTTTTCTAATTTTCTCGAAGAAATAATTGTAGACTAAAGTATATATTCTATATTACATATTTATTATGCATATGATCTTTATTGAAGAATTTTTGTTAGTCACTCATGTTTATTATCACAAAAAAATCTTGAGAGTTTCTTTTTCTTCACATACACGCAACCATATAATGGCTGTCATTTGCTTGATTGTTTCGTAACACGTCAGTATCAAGGAGCTCTTAATATTGTATTCTAAATTAAATTTTTCTTTTACTCTGTTTT